TCACTTTTCTAAGATAAATCATGTACTTTTTAAAATAAAAGACCAATTCCTGATCAAGTACAGACACAGAGGGAATGGATTGGAGTGGAAAGAGTCTAAAAATCTCTCTTCCTGCATTGAATTCAAAATAGCATTTATGAATAGTGCCATTATACTCAGCAGGGTCACTTTTCTAAGATAAATCATGTACTTTTTAAAATAAAAGACCAATTCCTGATCAAGTACAGACACAGAGGGAATGGATTGGAGTGGAAAGAGTCTAAAAATCTCTCTTCCTGCATTGAATTCAAAATAGCATTTACATCCACTGTGACATCAATTCCCCTTTCCAGGGAAAATTCCTAGCTATAAAATCCCATCAGAGACAAACTGAAGTTCTTTTTTGTTCTTCTTTGGCCAGTCCAGACCAACCCCAAAACTACCATTTGAGTTTGACCTTGACTATTACTTTGAGAGCAAATAGCAGTCTGATCTCCTGAAGTGCTGACATACAGGCAACAATTTCCAATGAGTTTTCTTGATACAGAAATCAGGCTGTATCACAGCAAGGAGCCTGCTCCCTCTACCAGGCCTTACCTGTGCCTGGGGGCTGCAGAAGCTGAGAAAATGCTGTCTGTGGCCTACTCTGGATCAGAAAGGATGCAGCATCCTGGACCTGGAGGGATGCCACAGTGCGCGGATTCACTTCCAACGTTGGTGTTTGACCTCTGGGGATGCAGGAGTCATCTCACCTCCACGGGATGTGCTCACTCAAGCCATGCAACCCATTGGGAAGTGTTTTGCAACAACTTTGGTCTGGTGGGAATGAACAATGTGCCAAAAAGCAGCAGGACTGAGCTGGTGTGCCTCGGGGAAAGGGGATGCTGTGAGGAAGGTCTGGGCTAGGCCATGCCTTTGAGCTGGCTAATTGGGGACAGAGGGTGCCCTTTAGCTCTGCATTCTTGGAGGTGCAGGTACCACCTTTGCCTTGCCCAGTGGGCACACGAAGGCCACATGAAGGTGAATGGGGGCTCCGATGTCGATGTCTCCCGGGGACATGCACCGCACGCTGCACCGGGGATGGGAAATGGCTCGTGTATCTTTAACCCGCAGCGGCCGAAACACGGCGGTGGTGTTTTTTGGTTTCTTGTTGTTTTTGTTGTTCGGGTTTTTTTTCTTAGTTAACAGTGGAGGGAGTTTTAATGTTTCCCTCCAGCAGACCAGCGCCGAGCGAAGGGAAGAAAAAAAACAACAAAACACAACTGTTCCTCTTGGGCTTGTCCCTAACAGAGCCAGTTTTCTCCCCTCCCCCCTTCACATCTAGTTTAAAGCTCTCTCGATGAGCCCTGCTAAGTCCTGTCCCAAAAGCCTCTTCCCCCTCTGGGACAGGTGCATCCCACCTGCCACCATCAGGCCAGGTGTCTCATATATCAGCCCATGATCAAAAAAACCAAAACCCTGTCTTTGGCACCAGTCTCTTAGCCATTCGTTGACCTGTAAACTCTTCCTATTTACCTCCCCACCCATTCTTGCAGGAGGGATGGAGGCAAACACTACTTGCGCTCCAGACCCCCTAACTAGCCGTCCCAGGGCTCTGAAGTCACTCTTCATTGCCCTTACATTTCTTGTAATAATTTTGTCACTGCCAACCTGAAAAATCAGCAGCGGGTAGTAATCAGAACCCATGAATAGTGCCATTATACTCAGCAGGGTCACTTTTCTAAGATAAATCATGTACTTTTTAAAATAAAAGACCAATTCCTGATCAAGTACAGACACAGAGGGAATGGATTGGAGTGGAAAGAGTCTAAAAATCTCTCTTCCTGCATTGAATTCAAAATAGCATTTATATTCCTGGAAAAAAAAAAAAAAAAAAAAAAAAAAAAGCTCACTTTAGGTGTCTCTATCTGCCTGCAGAATTGGCAATCCACACCTTCTGCAGATTGGGAGACCTCTCTGCCCTGTTTATGCTCTTGAGGTTATGCCTTAATTACAAAAAGCTCATCCACTGTGACATCAATTCCCCTTTCCAGGGAAAATTCCTAGCTATAAAATCCCATCAGAGACAAACTGAAGTTCTTTTTTGTTCTTCTTTGGCCAGTCCAGACCAACCCCAAAACTACCATTTGAGTTTGACCTTGACTATTACTTTGAGAGCAAATAGCAGTCTGATCTCCTGAAGTGCTGACATACAGGCAACAATTTCCAATGAGTTTTCTTGATACAGAAATCAGGCTGTATCACAGCAAGGAGCCTGCTCCCTCTACCAGGCCTTACCTGTGCCTGGGGGCTGCAGAAGCTGAGAAAATGCTGTCTGTGGCCTACTCTGGATCAGAAAGGATGCAGCATCCTGGACCTGGAGGGATGCCACAGTGCGCGGATTCACTTCCAACGTTGGTGTTTGACCTCTGGGGATGCAGGAGTCATCTCACCTCCACGGGATGTGCTCACTCAAGCCATGCAACCCATTGGGAAGTGTTTTGCAACAACTTTGGTCTGGTGGGAATGAACAATGTGCCAAAAAGCAGCAGGACTGAGCTGGTGTGCCTCGGGGAAAGGGGATGCTGTGAGGAAGGTCTGGGCTAGGCCATGCCTTTGAGCTGGCTAATTGGGGACAGAGGGTGCCCTTTAGCTCTGCATTCTTGGAGGTGCAGGTACCACCTTTGCCTTGCCCAGTGGGCACACGAAGGCCACATGAAGGTGAATGGGGGCTCCGATGTCGATGTCTCCCGGGGACATGCACCGCACGCTGCACCGGGGATGGGAAATGGCTCGTGTATCTTTAACCCGCAGCGGCCGAAACACGGCGGTGGTGTTTTTTGGTTTCTTGTTGTTTTTGTTGTTCGGGTTTTTTTTCTTAGTTAACAGTGGAGGGAGTTTTAATGTTTCCCTCCAGCAGACCAGCGCCGAGCGAAGGGAAGAAAAAAAACAACAAAACACAACAAAAACGAAAAAAACCACACACACACAAAAAAAAAAAAACACAACCTTGTTCCGCTGAGTTCAACCCCAGACAGGCTCTCAACTTCCTTCCTGCTCTCCTACCCCCTCCCTCCGCTCTCCTCCTTCTCGCCGCTCCTCTCCCTCTCCTCCTCCTCCTTTCTCCGCCTTT